CTCTTTCTCTCTCTAATATTAGATTTTTTATTTTAGTTAAACATTAAGTTAAATTTTTATTTAAGTAAAGTTGCCCTTATATGAAAACAATTTAAAAGATATTTTCTCTATTGATAATTTTTGAAGCTTAAATCGGAAAAGCTTTTTTTTTCTCTTGCTCCTTTCCGCACGGCTTCTGACAGTAACTGTAGAACAAAGGAACAAAACCGTAAAACCCCATGCACGAACGACGGCGCCCTCGTTGCAGCTCGCAATCTACGTCGGATCTTGAAAGGAGGGAACACCGAGAAGGCCGGAAGTGACGTCAGAGATCAACGGAACGACGGCTGAGTTCAGAATGCGGACTTTCAGGCTGCTTCAAAACACACGTACGGCAATCGGATTTGGAACAAAACAGGACGAGAGAGTAAATCTGCGGGGAAAAGTGCCGATGTCTATCATTTGACGTTTTTGGGTCGATTCAGTGACGTAGGAACATTTGATCATGTAAATATGAGGATAAGGATATTCCATTCAAATCTGAACGAGTTAGAGAATATCCTCCCCTCATAAAATATTGATAAGCCGATATAAAGCGAAGAAGTACGTAATATTTGCAGAAGATTGCCTCAAAAATATTTTAAATATTTACTTTGTTACATGTAACAAAATAACTAATGTACAAGATGTTTTTTAAATGTCAATATTTTAATTCTTAAATTATTTTATAAAAAAAATGTCATATACGATCTTAAAGGTTTTGTTTCAAAGATATAAAGTGTTAAAAATTTCATAAAATTATCGTAGTTTGTGGTAAAGCAAAAAAAATATTTTTCTCGATATCTTTTTTGCTAGTTATCTTATTGATCTCATAAACAGAAGAGAAATTACACTAAAATAAATAAATAAATCATAGCTCCTTAATAAATTACAAAAGGTACGACCATCAAGCACTAAGAAATTCCAAATAGCCTGCATTATTATATCGCAATAAAAGTGATTAATATCGCTCCCAGACGTTCCAGAATAAAAATCGTATTTACCGAGCACAAGGCTAATGAACTTCTATTAAACTTAATGATGTTTATCGAGCGCAAGCCTCAGCTCATCGTATTAATAATCAAAGCTGGTATAATCAAGGTATTTACCATTTCCATTGTCGTCCGCGATAATCGAAGTAGCGTGACGTTATTCCCCCGCATCGTAAAAATCGCCTTTCGTCAAACGGTAATCTCGCAATCGGGTGATCAAGTCGAGTGAGTCTAATTACCGGCGCACAAGGCGGAAGATATTAGGAACGCGTAATTACGCGCCCATGATAACCCTCGCTCCGCAATGGCAACACGGCCGTATTATCTCGCGTCGTGATTAATAGACACGAGCAGGCACGATAAGCAAGCACTGTGGTGCCCCCGCTCGTAGTAACGACATTCTTTCAATTTCGAGTCAATTACCCGGCCTCGGCGCGAAACAGCCGCGCGTAATCTCGAAAAACCGTTTACGTCGTAAAATACCGGACTTTTATCGGCGTGGCGTGCATCGTGCGCGCGCGAGATGCACTATAATCAGGGACCTACACCGGTCCCCGGGGGTTAAATGTAACGCGGGGGTTAAGCGCGATGTTGCTTCCTCTTCCATGTACAGCCTAATGTCTTCCAAAAGGAGACGTAGAAAGAACGATTCGCGTTTGCATAATCCCCGTTGTGAACCAAGCTGTAAAAAGTGCTCGTGGAAAGAACGTGGATCTGTATGTTTGCGCGGAAATCGCTGCCTGAAATTAATATAATGCCCGGCCGCGATAATTTCACGATACAAACGGACAGAATCGCAATATTTCGAGTTTAACTAATATTAATGCATTGAATTATAAATTGTTAAATTACATGGCAATTCGTCGGAATTCGTTCGTTGTAATGTTTCGATGAAATTTTATTCATAACGCATCTTCTATTAGCTATAGAGTAGCGAATGTATAATTGACAAAAGCTGAAACTATATCACGTTAATTTTTAATCAATAAATATTAAATAGAGCGCTAAATAGACAAACGAGACTCATTTTCGGAATAAATTTCAACTATAACAAATCTATTTAAATAAAGGATTTAATGTGTTGACTTGAATTCTTCAATCACTTCACGATTCGATATTAATCGATTTCACAAGTATCTCGTTCCTTTTTACTTCTAATTTCTACTGCAGTATCAACTAAATAGACGAACGAGACTCATTATCGAAATATATTTCAGCTATAACAAATTTATTCAGACAAACGATTTAACATGTTGATAAAATTTTTCAGTCGCTTCAATATTAATCGATTTCACAAGTGTCTCGTTCTTTCTTATTTCTAATCCCTATTAGTGTCTACTAAATAGAGCGTTAAATAAAATAAGACTCATTATCAGAGCAAATTTCAGCTACAAGTCTATTCAAATATAAATAAACGATTATAATATACTGATAAAATTTTTTCAATCGCTTCAGGATTCAATGTCAACCGATTTTACAAGCATCTCATATCCTCTTATTTCTAATCCCTACTAGTGTCAATGAAATAAACAAACGAGATTTATTTTCGGAATAAATTTCAATCATAATAAGCGTATTCAGATAAACAATTTAATATGCTGATAAAACTTTTCAATCGCTTCACGATTTCACAAGCACCTTTTATTTCTAATTCTTATTAATATTTATGGTCGAGGGAAAGCACGAGAGTATCTACGATATACCCCCCCCCCGTGTATCGTAGCCGGCCGCACGAACACACCTGTGCACGCCCGGCAACGAAACACGGGCGTGTACACTTCCGTGACACGCGTTTGCACGTTGCGGACTCGTAGCTGTCCCACCCTAGCGAGGATATCGCGACGATAATCGTGCGCCGGGTGAGCCCGGGCGAACGATAAAATCCACCGCCTAATGCATAGCGGGCGATTATCCACGCGGCTGGAATTATCAGAGAGCACGCACTGACAGTGACACTGTCGTGCGCGCACACGGAATTCAATAACCGGACACCACTTCGGCCTCTCTCGCCGGGCGAGAGAGTCCCGCGGCTCGCATTAATTGCGATTAGAGGGACTCGCGACAACCGACGACACGTACGGTTTTTCGACGAAAATAATAACGTAAAGAGCGCCGTCCGTGCGGATCCGATCTCGTGGGAATCATAAGGATTTTATTATAATGATAATTGCCGGAACACGCTCCGGTTTTACGACGAGCCGAAGATATAATTAGCTTCGTGACTTTCAGATAAGTGATTCCCCGAGACAGTAATGAGCAGTCCATTATATCTCAATGGAGAGCAAATTTTTATCAAAGCGAATGCATTAGTCTTTCTTATCTTTGTCGGATATCTTCTAACGCCAATATATGTATTTTTAATAATAAATATCGAGACTAATGGAGACCACGGATTCCGATTGTCAATTAGACAAAAATAGTTAGAGAAAATTATTCTCTCTAAAATTATATTGTAATGTATACTAATATTACTTATCTAAAATTGGTGAAGGTCAAATGGCTTTTTATTTTAAATAAGAGAGAAAAAGAAAACGGGGAAAAAAAAAGAGATTTGTTAATAGATGTAAATAGAGATATAATTTCAGTAAGAACTAGAAGAATTATAATTATAGTATTTATAATTATAAATATATTATCATATTATTAATAATAAATGACAATATTATTACGATTGCTAATCACTAGAACGAATACAGATACGGCCTATCGGCTTCAACACGATTACAATGTGAGTATTAACGTGCTTCGATGCAATTATTAGAAATCTTAATTAACTTAATATGCGCAGTTTCTTTATCTCTCACGGAATATTAATTAGCAATAATTTCTCGGATGTAAATTCCAGCGAGAGTACTAATTTTTCCGATGTAAACGATGCAACTTCCTCGCGTGACGCGGCGTTTAATGCGAGAGCGATGGGCGTGCACAAATGGAATTGATGCAAATTAAAATTATATTTCAGATATCTTGTACATTTAACAGAGAACAAAACCAAAATGACGCCGAGCCGAAATTATGCAATAATATTGCAGAAAGATAATTATGAACGAATTAAATAAATGAAATATGAGGCAACATCTGTAATGAATTTCAAATAACTAAACTATATACCGGACCGATAATCAATAAGAACGATATGCCACCGTGCAAATATTATAAATAGCAAATATTTTAACGTGAAATCAATGTTTATTTTCTTTCACCGTTGAGAAGGATATCAAATCAGGCCACAGCGGCGATTC